TTTTCTAAGGTATTGAATATCTAGTTCACAGTCTTTCCATCCCAACCCTTGCCCTCATACTTGGAGACTTCTGTGTACATGTTGATGTTTCCTCAAATGCTCCTGACATTCAATTAATCAGCCTCCTTAATTCCCATGGTGTGTATCTTCACAACAACTACCCACAGAGATGACCATATGTTGACTCTTTTGTTCACCCATACCTGTGCCACCTCCATGATTTTGAACTCTGAAATTTCTCTTATTATAACCTCCTTTCTCTCTTCCTAAATCTGCTTTTTATGTCCTATCATCTCAAATCCGTGTCCAAACAAAACTCATCACATTCTTCCCTATCTCCTTCACAGTTCCCTATTTCTTTTGAAGACAACCATCATTTTTATGCATGTGAGATTCCCAGCTCTCACTCCCTCTCTTTCTCCATATGTGTGTGTATACACACACACACACACACACACACACGTATAATATGCAGGTATATACACACACACACCCACACACGTATCTCTAATTTCTTTCTTCTGACCTCCAGTTCTATATCACTTAATGTTTACTATGCAACTCCAATTGGATGACTTTGGAGATCTGACCATGATATTCCCATGTTCAGAAACCTGCCGGGGTTCCCCACAGAATGATTCTAGGATAAAATACAAATTCTAGTCCCTTCCAGTTTAAAATCCTTCACAATCTATCTCTGCCGACTTTACAGCCTTATTTCATACTAATCTTCAGAAGTTCTGTTTCATCCAAACCAGAATACTAGATGTTCTCTCAATACTCCATTTCCTGACTCCAAACCTTTGCATATATTATCTCCTATACTTGGTATTCGTTATCTCTGCTTCTCAGAATCCTTTTATTCCTTCGACTCAGCTTGGGCTTCTCTGTGAATCTTTTCCTGAACCCCACAGTATCATTGTTCTCAGAATACCCCCCACCAAGATTATACTTATCTTTTAAAATGTATCTTCTGAGGAGAACTTCAACCCATTGAACAGGAACTGTTTTCAGTTTGCAGCTAACATAGCACTTGACCAGAATAGGTACTTAATAAATGTTGACTTAGTTTTTAGAGTTGAGTTGAATTGGCCAGCTAATTTCATTGCTTATCTTCCCTTTCCAATTTTTTCTTCCATAGTTTCCATTTCTTTTCCATTTTTCCTCTTCACTCCATTTATAAAAACATTTTTAAACTCTTGTTTCATCACTTCTCTCCTGTATTTATGTCTTGAGTGTCTCTGCTACCATAATGGCTCACTTTTTTGTTTGCTCATTCTTCCAGCCTTCTTCCTGATTTTGAATTTAACGTTCAGGGCTAGGTTCTTCTAGGGGGAAGGTCTAGAGTGGTGCTGTTGCAGCTTTCTTGGAGTATTGAATGTTGTATTATTCCAGGATCTCAGTGACAGTCTGGGGATCTACAAGCTTTCAGTGTTCCTATAGTGACCTGATTTAGAGCAAAGTTGATGCTGCCCCCATGGTCTGAGCTCTGCAAGTTTCTGACCTGGGTTTGGGTCTGGGCAAGAGTAGACTGCTGCTGGACTTGCCCTTATCAGCCAACTAAAAGCTCTGTTGGCTCAGAGCAGTAGAATTACAGGTTCTTCTTTAGTCTGGGATGTCCTCTTTGGTTATTCTTCTGCAAACTGGGCTAGAAGTTAGAAGTGAAACTTTTCTTTACACCTGAGGTCTGAGCCACACCACTGCTGCTCTACAGCTAGCTTCTGAACTTTTTCCTTTCTCCAAACACTGTCCAGGGCCTCCCTACCCTGGAACATCACTGCCATGTGCATATTCCCTTTTACTCTGTCCAAGAACTGTGACCTGGGACTGAGTAGTGAGAGACAAAGCTTCTAGGTGGCAGTTTTCCTAATCATAGGTCCCTAGTGTGGGCCTGGGATATGGATCTGAGATCACCTCTTGCCCTGGTGTAGTCTCTCACTGGATGCTAGAGTGCTTTGTGTATATCACAATGCAGCATGCTTCTTGCCTGAGCCCATCTCCAGTGCCCACAAATCTCCCTGCCTATCTCCCTATGCTGAGCTGGGCTGGACAAGGTCTCACATGACTTTTTTCTGCATTTCCCTGTCAGGATTTGGTCTTGTCCATTTTCTAGAACTGTTAGGAAGAATTTGTGCAGAGGAGCTCATTACATTGCTTCCTATCACTCTACCATCTTGACTGTGCTTCAAGTGAAAAACTTTTTAACAGTTAGAATTATGCACAAGTGAAATGGACCATCTCAGGAGGTAGTGAGTTCCCCCTCACTGGAAGTTTCCAAGAAGAAACAGGCATTTCTGTGTTCATCCCCTTGTCAGGGATGTCATAGAAATGGTTCCTGTTTAGGTATTAGTTGGAGTAGTGACCTTTGAGATCCCTTCCAATTTACATTCTAATCAGTGGTCCCTGATTTGGGGATCACCTAGGAAAATTCTAAGCAGAAGGAAGTTGTCCTGGGAGGACTACCTCTCACTATACAAAACTCAAGTTTCAGCAAACAAAACTAGTAATCTAGTCTTCAATAAATCCAAAGACCTAGTTACTGGGGTAAAACTCATTATTTGACAAAAATTACTAAGAAAAGTGAATAACAGTCTGGCAGAAGTTATGTTTAGAACAACACCTTACACTAAATGCTCCAAATGAATACATGACTTGGATATAAAAGGTGACATAATAAACAAATTAGAGTGAAAAAAAAGAAATTACCTTTTGGATTTATGGATAGGGGAAGAGTTCACAATCAAACAAGGGATAGAAAGGATCACTGAAGATGAAATGGACAATTTTGATTACATAGAATTTTAAAAGTTTTGCACAAACAAAACCAAGGTAGCTAAGAGTAAAAAGGAAACAGTTAATAGAAAAGAAAAAAAAATCTTTACAGCAAGTTTCTCTGGTAAAGGTCACATTTGCGAGGCATATAAGGAAACGGTTCAAATTTATAAGAGTAAGAGCCATTTTGCAACTGAGAAATGTTAAAAAGGATATGAACAGTCAGTTTTAAAGGGAAAAAAATCCAAGCTATCTATAGCTATATGGGGAAATGCTCCAGATCACTAGTAATTAGAGAAATGCAGTTTAAAGCAACTCTGAGGTTCTGCCTAACATCCATTATATTGACAGAATCAAGGGGGAAATGATAATTGTTTTAGTGCTGAGGAAAAACAGTCACTTTGATACATTGTTGATAAAGCTGTGGCAGTTGGTGGTGTGCTGGACCTGGAGTCAGAAAGACCCAAGTTCAAATCCAGCCTCAGACACTTCTTAGCTATGTGATCCTGGGCAAGTCCCTTAATCTCTGTTTGCCTCAGTTTCTTCAACTGTAAAATAGGGATAATAACAGCACTGACCTTGAAGGGTTGTAAGTCTCAAATGAGATATTTTAATGTGCTTAGCACAGTTCCTGACACATAGTAGGCACTATGTAAATACTTATTCTCTTCCTAGTGAATTAGTGCAGTCATTTTGGACAACAGTTGGGGACTATTCCAAAAAAGTTACTAAACTGTGCATATCCTTTGACCTAGCTATACCACTACTGGCCCTATAACCCACAGAGACTGAAGAAAGAGGGAAAAACAGCCATATGTACAAAAATAATAACAATTCTTTTCATAGTAGCTAAAAATTGGAGACCAAAGGGGTGTTTTATTAGGGAATTGTTACACAAATTATGATATGTGAATGTAATGAAATACTATTATGCTGTAAGGATGAAAGACAGAATTTGAGAGAAAACTGAGAAAGTTTGTATGAATTGATTCAGGGTAGAGGGAAAAGAGCCTGAAGAACTATCCGTACAATAACATGAACATTGTAAAAATGGACAACTTTAGAGGGCTTAAGAACTATAATCAGTACAACCATGATTCCACAGGAGCCAGGATGAAGATATATTACCTACTTTCTTATAGAAGTGATACAGAATGAAACAGATTTTTTGGACATAACCAGTGTGGGAATTTGTTTTGCTTAGCTATGCCTATTTGTTAGAAGGGTTTTCTTTTCCTTTTTTTTTTTTCAGTGTATGTGTGGGGGGAAGGTAGTGTGGAGGCAGAAAGGGAAAAAAACCACTTTTTAATTGAAAAAAATTTAATTAAAAAAAATCAAGCTTCAGTAACATTGAAACTTGGGCAATTGCCATTTTTGTCATTGCCATTATCTTATTTCATTTCCATTCAACAAACGTTTCCTGAGTGCCTGATATCCAAAGGACAAAGTTTAGATAGGACATGGCCTCTATGGATTCAATTAAATTGAGCAAATATTAAGTGCGTGCTATGTACAAGATACTATTCTGTCAATCAATCAGTTTTAAACCTGTATCAGAATCTGGCCCTGCATCAGGGCCAGTAACCAGAGTAACCAGAGAGACTGAGACATTTTCTCAGGATTCAAGGCCACTGGGTCAGTGAAATTTGTGTAGGCTTCTAGGACTGTACATAGAGTTCTGAGAGAAAGTCCATGGAAAGAAAGTGGAGACAGTGTACACTAAGGGGGTAAAAAGTTGAGTCATCTCCATCTTGTATTCATTAGGAATTTGTAGAGTTACTCAGCATGAAATTCATGCTTCTCTGATCTTTTCTTCAAAGACTGAAAGAAGAGGCAATTGCTAAAGCATTGGGCCACCACCCAGGTTAACAATTCAGCTGCTGCTAGAAAAGAATGACCAGAGACTACTGAGCCTAGTGGATCAGGCTGGGTGGGATGATCCTTGCTGACCAAAGACAGAGTCTTGCTCCCACCATTCAGGAGAAGGCAGTTGCTTTTAATTGTATCACTCCTTTGGAATTGTGCTTTACTTCTCTGCAAGTGGAAGGAATTAACACAGAAAAAAGTCTGGTTTAAGTGGCAACTGGTTGAATCCAGTCAGCAGGTATCCACAAGTGTTCCCCTTTCCCCACTGCAATTTCTGTCCATTTCTTTGCCATTGTTTATTTTAGTGTTATAGCAAATATATAATAGTGACCACTGACATTTCTTTATATATTGTTCTGTAGGTGATGGAAATTGGCAACCAACAGAGTCTGGAAAAATGTCCAGAACCCATTATGGAGGCAAGCACCTGCCTTTAGTGGGATGCAACTGAGCAATGAACTCTCCCCAAAACAGGTGGTGCCATCTGCAACTGCCTTCTAAGTCAGCTCAAGGTGATTAAACAAGAGAAATGAAAAGGAAAAGAGATATTTATAATCTTAATCTGAGCAATCACTCTCCTAGATTTCATATATGTGTATGCATATGCATGTGTATGTATTTAATATTTGAGTGAGGCCCAAAGCCTAGGACAAGGGGAAGGGGTAGATATAAGGGAATGCACTGAGGTGGGCTCACCTGTCTTTCTCTACTCCAGACATCAGAGCTTGTACTCCAAGAAGGATTTACTCATCACAGGTGGTATATCAAAAATGCTACCCAATCATGCATTTATAAGGATATCACTGTGTTAGGTACTTGGAATACAAAGACAGAAGTTAAAATGTCCTTTCCTTCAAGGAGCTTACATCCTTCTAGGTCAGGGAATTGTTACCAATTTTATGTCATGCACTCCTTAATCTGGTGAAATGAAAGTACCCCTTCTCAGAATAACATTTTTAAATGCATAAAATAAGATGCATAGAAAAGAAGCATGGTGTGTGTGTGACAGATACACACATACAAAGTTCATGGACCACAGGTTAAGAGCTCCTGTTCTAAGCAGTACAAATAAATAACCGATAAGTAAATACAAGAACATTTTTGAAAGGAAAGAGCTTTAACATAGGAATCTCAGGAAAGATTTCTCATAAGAAGGGATACATGTGCTGGGTAATGAAGGAAGCTAGAGGTTCTCCATGGCAGAGATGAGGAGGAAGTACTGTATATTGTCACACAAAGGCACAGAAGTGGATATGATATGCTGCATGGGGAGTGTGGTCCAAGTAGGCCAATTTGAAGGTATTTTGAATGTGGGAAAGGGATGAATGGGAAATAAGTCTGGAAAGGTTAGAGTTCAATTGTAATGAGTATAACATCAAGATGAGGAGGTGGTGTTATATCCTATAGGCAATTGAAAGTCACTGAACATTCTGTGGGGTAGGGGGAGTAGCGTGAGGAGGTGACATAGTAAGAGCTGTGTTTTAGGAAAATGGTTTTGACAGCCGTGTAGAGGATAGAGTGGAAAGAGGAGAAGCTAGAAATCTAGTAGTAGGCTGTTGTAAACCCACTGGAGAAGGAAATGGCAAACCACTCCAGTATCTTTGCCAAGAAAACCCTATGGACAGCATTGGCATGCTGTGGTCCACAGGGTCATGAAGAGTCAGGCAACAACTGCAGAACAAGAAGAAGTAACAATCTGGGTGAGAGGTAAGAGTGTCTAAATTAGGATGGTGGCTATCTGAATCGAGAGAAGGGAACAAATGGGATCAATGGAGTGGAAGTAGAATTGATCATTCTTGGCATTGGGTGAGTGAATAAGGAGAGAAAAGATCAAAGACACTTTTCAAAGTGAACCTCAGCGACTGTAAGGTTAGTGATCCCTCCAAAAGAAACAGGAAGTCTGAAGGAGAGGCAGGTGGGGGTGGGGTGGGGAGAGCAATTTCTGTTCTGAACATGTTGAGTTTAAGATGCAGATGGGACTAACCACTAATTGGGTTCTTCTGCAAGCATAATTTAATCTCTGATGAATGAATGATTGTACTGTTGAAAGAAACATAGGGTAACCCCAACTAATTACATTGATTAGGCTTGAAACAATATGACATTAGATGAAAGAGTGTTGCAGTGAGGAGTAGGAATGGCCTCAATGTTATAACTATGTTTCGTGACTTTATGGTAAGGTTTGGTTCTAATTTATTAATAATAACAACAAACAATATATTAATAACTATTGTGAAGACATGTTGGTCAGGGCAGTGTTATATAGGGTATGCATGTGTTGTCCAATGTTTTAAGTTTCAATGTCTTAGCCCTAGCACTCCAGTAGAAAACAAGTTTTCAGAGGGCACAGACTATGACAATTTTTATCTTTGTATATGTTGACTTTGGTTCTTAAACAACATACTATAAGGAGCCCTACCACACACTTCATAAATAATAACTCATGTTACTTTAGAATATGTAGTACGTGGGAGGGGAATTTTAAGTAGCATTCCCCACATTTTATAAATGAGAAAACCAAGACTCAGGTTAAATGATTTGCCAGAATTACACAACTTAGTAAATTAAGTAGTCAGAGCCAGGATACAAATTTAAATTTCTCCTAGCATTTTTCTATTGCACCATGCTGCCTCTCGATGTTTGTTGTTGGTGTTGCCATTATGACATGGTGACACATACTTAGACATGATTAGAAAGGGAAAAAAAAGGAAATGAGAGGGAGGCAGGCATGGTGAATGAGCAATCCTCAAAGCCAGGGAGGCCTAGGTTCAAGCCTCGCTTCTGATACCTGCTGACTATGTGACCCTTGGCAATCATTTAACCTCTCACTGCTCTAAGACTATAAATTACAGAGAATTTGCCAACCTGCACTTGTAGAGGGAGTTTCTTTGCTTGGGGCTTCCCTCTACCAGTGAAATCAAAGGTCTTTCACCATATCTAACAGGTTAAGTGACTTTTCCAAGGCCTCATGGGTAGGAAGAGCCAGGATGGGAATCGAGGTCTCCAGGTTTCAAATTCAATGTTTTATCCACCATATTAGCAATTATTGGAAAGTCTTAAAACCCCAACTCTTGGAGTTTAATTTTATATGACATGTAACATGTTTTTTTCTCTGGGTATATTTCCCACAGCTTATTTTAATCAACAACATACCGTTCATTTCAGCACCAAAGCTCAATATATTCATGAGCAAACACCAGGTATTTTCATAATTTATTAATGAATACATAAGTAATACATTTAAATAAACCAGCAATATGTAAAAATTACCATCATTTCTTGGCTCATATAGGTTTCATATGTTAATCCTAGAATGATAAGGAAAAACTTACTTTTCCACATCCCTTCAGTTAGTGTATGAGTATCTAAAAGTAATGAAAAATAATCCTTTTGAAACCAAGTTCTGCAAGCCAGTATTTTGTAGGCTACGTTAACAGTCACTGCGCTTTTCATCAGTGCTATGTTGGTGCATTGGCACTAGGTGTCAGCAGACCACAACTACTCAAGAATTAGTGACTCAAAGGATTTATCTGTAAGAAAAGGCCCTAATGTTATAAACAGACTGGATAGGCAACCTGACATAGTAGATAGAGAGCCAGCTTCAGATTCAGGGAAGACCCTAGTATAAAAAATTTTGACAAATATGACCCTTTACATGTCATTTTACCATATAATGCCTAAGTCAACCCTCCAAGACTACCAGTTGGTAGAGGCATGTTTCTCATTGGGAATTCCCTCCACCAATGAAATGATAGGTTCAGGATGGGGCAGGGGAACAAAAGTGACAGGCTCTGAATAATTGGTTAATGTTATCCCTGCAGAAAAAGGGAAATTTATCATCTAACCTTTCCTCATTCAAAAATAAGGTGGAAAATACGTTAAATATAGCTAGAAGAGATCTGAAATGCTAATGTTTCCAAACAACTCAGTCAGTGTTTGACATAATTATAAATAAGACATTCATATTTTTTAAAGTGTATGGTTAATTCTGTTTTGTAAGCGCAGCCATAAGAATAGATACCAATGATTGCTCGTATGGGGAAAGAGTACTGAGAGGACCTAGACTCCAATTGGGCTCTTCTCCTTCCTATCTGTGTAACTTTGGGAAAGTAATTTTGTCTCATAGGACTCTATTTCCTATCTATAAAATGGAAGGTTGGACGGATGACTTCTGAGGTTCCTTCTACATCTAGGTTTATGATCTTATATAATTGGCCCTTGTTTAGGTATAAGAGGGGAAAGTACAGGACTTGGAGTTGGGACATTTCCACCTTTGTGACCTTGAGATGGTTACTTAATTCCTCTTGGCTTCAGTTTTCTCATTTCTGAATATGGGAATGATAATATTTTCAATGTTATCTCACACAATGAAAACCTTTAAACTGCTTTATTAATGTTATTTATTATTTTAATATCTACTATGTGCTAGGCCTCTAGATTGTATGCCTATTGTCAGAGGTCTAAGTTTGCTCACATCAGATACAAAGATAAAAACCAACATGGTCAATTTCTCTCCAAGAGCTTATGGGGTGAGGGATGGCTGGGGGGAGGGGGGAAGAGGATTGTTTGGGGGATGGAAAAGTGACTAAGGCTAAGATATACTGAAACTTAAACACTAAAGTGTGACTTCAGTATATTCATAGATTTATATGAATTTGGCCGCTATCACATCAGCAAAGAGTTTATTGGTGAAGTTCCCCTTGAAAGTAGACCATACCAAGCTCAAGATGCCATTTTGATCATGACAGAATGGTCAGTGCTTTAGTAGAGATTGAGTCAGAGCAAAAGCAAAGCCTCAAATGGTAACGATCAGAGACTTGAGAAGAAGCTATATCATGAGATACTGTCCTAAGGATGGTAATATTATTCTGAGTAGTTTAAGATGTTGAGCTAGGCATTCCCTATTGTATATCTCAAGGAACTTGGATCATTTCCATTGTGTGATGTGGGAATCAGAGTAAGGCTTTCATTTTTCTGTTAAGGAATCAAGTGAAGGAGCAGCTAGGTGGTGCAGTGAATAGAGGTCCAGCCTTGGAGTCAGGAGGACCTGAGTTCAAAACTGCCCTCAGACACATGACACTTACTACCTGTGTGACCCTGGGCAAGTCACTTAACCCCAGTTGCCTCACCAAAAAAAAAAAAGGAATCAGGTGATTAAACAAATTATGTAAAATAACAGGATTATAGTGCATATTTTGATTGAAATAAATAAAGCAATTTGACCAAATCACTGAGTGTTTTGCCTTTCTTTGAAGGGTGTGTTATTAATTTTGGCTCTTCTTTTTCACATAATGCCTTAAGTACCTGTACTCAAGAACCCTAAGTAATTTCAATCGAGACTTCTGAAAAGGTAAAATTTACTTCTTCAGTACTTTGAAAGATCGATGTTTTCATGTGGGTATACTTTCCTCCACATTTTAGTGGATGAAAAAGATGAAATTTAATAGGAATAAATATAAAGTTCTACACTTAGATTTAAAAAATCAGCTGTATAAATACAGGATGACAGAAACTTAGCCATTCATTAAAAAAAAAGACCTGTTTCCTATATATTTGTCAAATGAGACTTTTATAAAAGAAACTGGCTGTAAAATTTATTTCCCCGTTTCCTGCTTTCTTTCTAATTTTGGCTTCATTAGTTTTGTTTGTGCCAAAATTTTTTAACTTCAGGTGATCAAAATTACCCATGGTATTTTATTTGCTATGGCACTAATAGGTATATTAATTTAGAGAATATTGTAATTTTTGTTATATTGTCTTAGCCTACCCATTAGCAATTATATTTTTCCAATTGCTCAGATTTGTATTTCTGTGAAAAATGTTTTGTAATTGTGTTCATATAATTCCATTGCATGTCTTGGCAGATAGATTCCCAAGTATTTTATACTGTCTACAATTATTTTAAGTGCATTATATCTTTCTATCTCTTACTGCTGGGTTTTGTTGATGCTATATAGAAATGCTGATGATTTATATGGGTTTATTTTATATCCTGCAAGTCTGCTAAAGTTGTTAATTGTTTTAATTAGTTTTTTTAGTTACATGGCTAATTCATTGATCTGCTTTCTTTCTTTTATTGATTTAAGTATTTAGAGATACAAACTTCCCCTAAGTACTGCTTTGGCTGCATCCCACAAATTTTGGTATGTTGTTTCATTTTTGTCATTATCTTTAATGAAATTATTGATTATTTCCGTGATTTGTTTTTTGACCTGCTCATTCTTTATCATTAGATTATTCAGCTTCCAGTTAATTTTTTAATCTATGCTTCCATACCGCTTCATTGAATGTAATTTTTGTTGAATTATGGTCTGAAAAGAGTTCATTTTATATTTCTGCTTTTCTACATTTGGTTGTGAGGTTTTTATGACCTAATATATGGTTAATTTTTGTGAAGGTGCCATATATATTTGAGAAGAAGGTATATTCCTTTCTTTTCTTATTCAGTAAACTTCAGAGGTCTATCATATCTAACTTTTCTAAAATTCTATTTAACTCCTTAACTTCTTTGTTATTTTTTTTCATGGTTAGATTTATCTAGATCTGAGAGGGGTAAATTGAAGTCCTCCACTAGTATAGTTGTACTATCTGTTTCCTTCTATAATTAATTTAACATTTCCTTCAAGAAATGCCATTTAGTTCATGTATGTTTAATATTACTTCATAGTCTATGGTACCTTTTGGCAAAATGTAGTTTCCCTAATTTTCTTTTTTAACTTGGCCTATTTTTGCTTTTTCTTTGAGATCATGATTGCTACCCCTGCCTTTTTTACTTAAACTGAAGCATAATAGATTCTTCTCCAGACATTTATTTTAACTCTACATGTGGCTTTCTGTTTCAAGTGTGTCTCTTGTAAGCAACATATTTCTACCTGATTTCTAATCCATCCTGCTATCTACTTCCATTTTGTGGGTAAATTCACCCCATTTGTATTCACAGTTATGATTGCTAACTATGTATTTCTCTCCATCCTATTTTCTTCCTTCCCTTTGTTTTTACCCTGACCCCTCCTCAAAAGACTGTTTTGCTGCTGGCCACTGTTTCCCTTAATCTGCCTTCCCTCTTATCAGTTCCCCTTTCTTTTATCCCCTTCCCCTCCTACTTTGGGTAAGATGAATTTCTATACTCAACTGTGTATGTGTATATGTATTTTTTTCTTTTCTCTTTGCACCAGTACAAGGGAAAATGAGGTTCAGACATTACCCACCCCCACTATTTCCCCTCCATTATAAAAATGTTTCTTTGTGTACCTCTTTTATGTGACATATTGAGCAAGTTCTGGCAATGTGTGCATCAATCTCATCATCTATGTGTATGTCCTTGGAAAACATACCGCCAAAGTAAGTGAACTTTATCTACAGGAGTCAGAATTTCTCCATTTGCTGTAACTGATGTTTCCACATAAGGATGGTGTGACACTGGCTATTGGAGAACCCCTATTTTCTTGGTGTTAATTGTTAGGCCAAAATTGGCACAGGCAGTGGCAAATTGATCCATACTTTGTGGCATCTCAGTCTCAGAGTCTGCATTGAGTGCACAATCAGCTGTAAACGAAAAGTCATACATCAATTTTCCCTCCACTTTAGTCTTTGCTTGTAGCCTTTTCAAGTTAAATAATTTACTGAAAGGAAGTGTGGGAGAGAAAAGGTGTTAGACTGTCTACCAAACTGAAGATCTACCGAGCCATTGTACTGACCTTATTGTTGTATGCCTGTGAAATCTGGACAGTATACTAGTACCATTCCAGGAAACTTAATTACTTCCACTTGAATTGTCTTAGGAAAAATCTGAAGCTCACCTGTCAAGATAAGGTACTGGACACTGAAGTCTTTTCTTGAGCTGAACTGCCAAGCATTCAAACTGTACTACAGAGAGTGCAACTCAGATGGGCTGGCCACATTATTCAAATACCAAAAGTACATTTCCCTAAAGGAATATTTTTATGGAGAATGCACACAAGACAGGCGCTCACATGGAGGTCAGAGGAAGCACTATAAGGATACTCTCAAGGTCTCTTGGAAGAATTTTGTTATCAATTGTGAGACATGAGAGACACTGGCACAGGACAATCCAGCATGGTGTGCCTACATCAAAGAAGGCGTTGAGCTCTCTAAACAAAGCAGAATTGCAGTAGCTCAAAAGATATGAGATGCACAAATTTAAAGACATCTCCACTCCAAATATTCATATGGACTATTAGTGCCTGACCTGTGGTAGAGCCTTCTGAATTCGTATTGGTCTGATCAGCCACAATCAGACACACTGTACCTTGACCCTAACATAATGATGTCATTTTGGTCATCTTCCAGAACAAAGGACAACAGCCAACCAACCAACCTATGTGAGATAATTCTTCCTTTCCCAATTCTCATCTCCCGACGCATCTCTCTTTCTCACCTTTCTATTTTTCTTTTGAGATCATCTCAACATAATAGGCACCCCCACTCTCTCTGTCTAAGTACACTCCTTCTAACTGCCTTAATTGTGATAAAGTTCTTAGGGTTCACATGTATCATCTTCCCATTCAAGAATGTAAACAGTTTAATTTTATTAAAGTCTTTATGATTTCTCCCTCATGTTTACCTTTTTATTCCTCTTTTGGGTATTGTGTTTGAATATCAAATTTTTTTTTATAGCTCTGGTCTTTTAAATCAGGAATGCTTGGAAGACCTCTGTTTCCTTAAATGTCCACTTTCCCCCTGTAGGATTACACTCAGTTTTGCTGGGTAGGTTATTCTTGGTTGTAATTTTATCTCCTTTGCCTTCCAAAATGTTATATTCCAAGTCCCCCTTTCCTTTGAGTAGTAGTTGCTAAATCTTGCGTAATCCTTATCATGGCTCCATGATATTTGTTTATAGCTGCTTTCAATATTTTCTTCTTAACCTGGGAGCTCTGCAATTTGGCTATAATATAACTGTCAGTTTTCATTTTGGGATTTCTTTCAGGAGATGAGTAGTGGATACTTTCATTTCTATTTTTACTTCTGGTTCTAGAATATCAGGGCAGTTTTCTTTGATAATTTCTTGAAATATACTGTTTTGGTTCTTTTTTTGATCATGGCTTTCAGGTAGTTTGATAATTCTTAAATTATCTCTCCTTGATCTATTTTCAGGTCAGTTATTTTTCCTATGAGATATTTCACATTTTCTTCTATTTTTTTCATCTTTTTGACTTTGTTTTATTGTTTCATGAAGTCATTAGCTTCCACTTGACCAATTCTAATTTTTAAGGAGTTATTTTCTTCAACAAAATTGTGTACCTCTTTTACCATTTGGCCAATTATGATTTTTGAGAAGTTCTTTTCTTTGTTTTTCTTTACCAAGCTCTTAATTCTCTTTTCATAATTTTCTTGTATTGCTCTTATTTATTTTCCCAATTTTCCCACCACTATTCTTACTTGATTTTTAAAATCTTTTTTTTTTTTTTTGCCCTTTTTATACTTCTTTCTTTAGCTCTTTTAGGAATTTTTGTTGGGCTTGTGTTCAGTCTACATTTTTCTTTGAGGCTTTGCTCGTAGATGTTTTTAAGTCATTATCTTCTTCTGAGTTTGTGTCTTGAGCTTCCATGTCACCATAGTAGCTTTTTATGGTCAGATTCTTTGTTGTTGTTGTTGTTGTTGTTGTTTGCCTATTTTCCCAGCCTATTTCTTGACTTCGGACTTTATATTAGGGTTAGACTCTGCTTACCTCTAAGGGTTGATGATTGTCCCAAGCTTAAGACTTTTTGCTCTGTTGTTTTCACAGTTAGTTCTGGGGGCCTGTTAGTTTTTGGTGCTTTCAAGGTGATGTATTCAAGGAGAGGTATGGTCACTGCTCTCCTAGTCTATGCTTTGGTACTTACCCAAAATACCAAAGGTAGGGCCCCTGCTCCCTCTCAACTCCTCCCTGCTCTGATATTGCAACCCATACTCAAGTAGAACCCCTACTTTCTTGTGACTCCAAGTGCTCCTCACCACCCTGGGCTATGACCCAGAGCTAGGTTATGGGCAATAGAGTTGCAAAATGGCATCCAGTTCTGGGCTCAGTGCCAGCACAGGGGTCCTTTGTGTTATCTTTGTGACCAGATATTCAATCCCTTACTATGACTAGGTGCTGCCCAGTAGAGCTGCTGCTTTTGTCTCTACCTCTAAGACCCATAGCTGGTATTGTTTCCAGCTCACTGTGCTCCTGACCAGCCCCCACCCCAGTGTCCACATATCTCTCTTTCTGACCTCTTAAGTTGTCCTGGGTTGAAAAAACGATTCACTTTGACTTTTTGCTGGTTGTGCCACTTAGAATTCATTTTGATACTTATTAAAAAATTGGGGGGGGGGGTTTGTTTTCTTTTTTTTTAGGCAATTGGGGTTAAGTGACTTGCCCAGGGTCACACAGCTAGTGCATGTCAAGTATTTGATCTGAGGCCGGATTTGAACTCAGGTCCTCCTGACTTCAGGGCTGGTGCTCTATCCACTGCACCACCTAGCTGCCCCTAAAAAGTTGTTTAGAGAAGAATGTTAATAGAACTCAGAAAAATGCTCCCTTTACTCTGCTATTGTGGCTCTGTCCCTCCCTTTGAGTATGCTCTTGGTGATGGACTCTATATATATATTCCCTGAAGGTCAGCCTACCGTCAGGCGCATTACCAGGTTCGCCACAGGTTAATGAAATTCCAACTAACACCAGCTCTCAGGAACCATCTAATAAGTTAGAGAGAAACTGCCACTCTGTCACTAACAAACCTCCATCTCATTAAATCATTACTATAAATAATTAGAGAGAACTGAATTGAATGAACGGACTGGAAGACATACATAGAATGGGTTGCCCTAGGAAATAGGGCATTCCTCCAGCATTGGAGGTCTCTTCAAGTGGAGGCTTGATGAGAACTAGTCAATGAATGGGATTTGTGTTTTGGTTAATGGGTGAAACTAGGTGATTTCTGAAGTTCCTTTCAACACTGCCACCCTAGATGATCTTGAATACCGACATAAACATCTTATATTATAGGCAATAGGAAGCCACTGAAGATTTTTGAGCAGGTAGAATGATGAAAATAGAGTTGTTCTCAACAAAATTTGTTTGTAAAGCCTATTTAACCCATAACAAAACTGAAATAAAGTTTCAGCTTTA